ATGGCAACAGACACAGCAAAGAGTATAGACACACTGCTCACACAGGGATCCGACAGGAAGGTAAATCCTTACTAGAGCTCAGAGAATACACACTGTCCTTTACTCTCCAAACACAAACTCTTGTGAAACCAAGCTTCACGGATTCCCCTGATCACTGAAATAGTTATTGTCAGTATGAGAGGGACACCACGCCCACATCCGTATACAATGTCAGAATACTGAGTGCAGTGGAGGTATGACTTTCTGCTTAGAGCCATAGATATTCTGGGAAAACAGACCTTGGATTGTGCACCAGAACTGAAGCACAACAGAGCAAAGCCAGCACAATCCACTGCATGCCATAGGAATGGGTGAAATATGAAGAATTGATTGTCAGTGAAAAAAAATTACACATTTTTATATCTTTTTACTTCAATATGAGCCATAGTATAGGTCTTATAATGGCAAAATGAATATGTTATGAATGATTTATCATTATGGATATGAGCGGATGATTATTGGTAGCATGAGTCATATAACACTCAATTTTCACACAATATGTTGTTAATAATGGATAAGGATTTATGGTATATTCTTATATAAAGAAAGAGCATATTAAAACTTGTTCTTCACTGGAATCAAATAACTCACTGTGCATTGAGTTGCCTAGGAAATTGAGTTACTTTTGCCATTACTACTAATTACATTTTAATATCATATTTTTAAAGTAGATATACATCAAGTCACTGCAGTAACTCATCACAGAACAGATCCACCCTACTGTTGCACCACTAAGCCAAAATAAATGCTCTTTCTTGTCTCTACTTACAGTAAAAGAAGAGAAAAAAGAAGCAAGCACTATCTTGTCCTAGTTTGTATCATGCACCTGTAGGAAAACTCTTAAAATTGACCCTGCCTGTGAGGCTTCTTTCACATGTAAATGGGAGGTCTCGATCCTATTTAACTGGTGAAGTTTCAAAACAGAAGTTCAGTTATGATCAAGTCCTCTGAATAGCTTGGCTGATGAGTGACATAAGATAGCAAAACAAAATACGTGTGGGACAAGAGGTTAGGAACCCAAAAGTTGCCCTCAGCAATACTCAGAGTCTGCTCCCATCCATATGTCTTAACCAGAACCTTTGTGGATCAAACTGGAGCAACACAGGAATAGACAGTTTGTTGTCATCAACAAATGCGTCTACCCTCCAGAAACAAATAATTTTAATAGCTGATGCCAAGATGCCTCAGATACTTTTGTCTGAAGTCAGCTAGGCCAGCTTATACTGAACATGGTCTAACCATAGCAGAATTTCCAGTTACATGGATGAAGAGAGTATATATTATCCATTCTTGTATTTGAGTGCTAGGGTCTGACAAGTTCTTCCTCTGGAAATGCAATGAATAACCATCGTAACTGCCTGACTTGGAATTTCTGAAGGGTTCCTGCAGTAGAGCCATCAAAGGTGAATTAACCCGTAGGAAAGTACAGGGATGTACAACTCTGACTGCCTGGCATGAAAAACACCTGAAAACTTCACTTAATGTTGATTAGAAAATCAACATATGTAGGAGACAAAATGAATGTCAAGAAAGCCTGATGCAGCTTAGACAAATGCAATACATTTTCCTATTCTGTCCAAGGAAAACAGGATTTGTATTTGTGCCAAACAATGCAGGAGAGTTTTTTGATCTTGTCAATTCCATTTAATTTAGAAAGCAAATATCTTCATACAGCTAATTGAAAGATCATTGATCAGGAGAGGTTTATAAATGGATATCTAGGTAGAAGGAAAGCCCAATGGTAAATGACCACATTAGATAGATATTAGCACATGAATTGCATTCATTATTGTCTTTATTGTTACCATAAAGAAAAGGAACTTGGAAAATCCATCTGTTCCCTCAGATGGAAGCCCCCTGGCATGAGGCTCCAGAGACTCAAGAACCTGCACTCAGCCCTCAGTGAAAAGAGACTATTGCTGCCCCTGACCTGCCAGAGCCCTAAGAGGACATGGGCTCCTTTTAGACCTCTCCTCCATTGACATCCTCCTTTATTCCCTCTGTTTTCCAAGGAATTCGGCCCAGATTTGTAAATAGCAAAATTATGGCATCCCCAAAATTCCATTTCCCTGCCAAGAATATTTATTTTAAAAAATATAAATAAAAGAGAAGTCACTTCAAGTGGAGGGCTAGCTAATATGAAAGGAGTCTGACGACAGATGGTGCTTTCTTACTACCTACATACATTTGTTTCCGTATGCACATACAACCACTCCTCATGAACCATTACTGTTCCAGTATCTTTTCCCTCCCCATCTACCGCATCCCACTCTAAACCAACATCTCATAGAACAGTTTCAGAGAATGAAGAGAGGAAGCATTGCCCCTGGAGACTATGCAGAACTGTGCTTAGTCCTATTATACTTCACTTTTTCCAGTTTCTGAAGTAAGCACCAGATCTTTGAACTCAACCTTTTCTGCTGTCAGCCAGGGCCAGAAGGATTATACACAGCAAAGGAACAAAAAATAAATTAATGTAAATAATGTGTACAACAACAAGGGAAAGCAGCACACAAAAGCCAGTGACTGATTAAGATGCATTCTTTTCTCACAGGGGCTCCTAATTAGCTCACTAATACCATTCTCATCTAATTTAACAATTTAATGGTCTCCTGTCACATAAAAAATGAGCAGAATCTGTCATGCTCTCAGTACACCTGAGAGAAACTGCTGCTTTCTCACTTCCAGCTCTCTAAATGGGGTTTCCCTCGCCCCTGAGGTGCTTCCCCCCACACACTGTGCCCAGCAGGTTCACCTCAGGTATCAGCAGCAAGCCATCTGGGTAGGCTCCGCCCCAGCCCAGCTTTCCTCACATAGCTGTGCTTCCAGATGTTACCTCTACATCTGTCTCCCAGGTGAGCCCTCTCATCTGTTTGACCCCTTAGTCTGATCCCCATGGGAAGATAGGCTAGCATGGCAAACCAATCCTTTGGTGTCCAAAAAAGTAGTGGTTCTTACCTCAGGGACGGGATTACTCCTGATCCTTGAATGCACTCCCCCAAGCTCACACAGCTCCTGGAGGAGCACCCCTCTGACACAGGTACACCATTTATCTGGAACGAATGTGGGGAATGATGGCAGGTGGGCTGGCACTGAAGCCAGGCTACAAGAGCAGGATTTCACAGGAATTATCAGGCAAGATCATACACACTCCCTGTTTGCTCCACTGTTTGCCACTCTCCCACAGCAACATGCCAGTGTTGTCTAGAAAGTATGAGAGTCTGGTAGTAGGCATTGGGCAACATCTCCCCAGCCCTCTCATTTCATCTTCTCAAGAAGGTTTTCAGATTCCCTCTATAACTGCTTACCTTTGTCACCTCCAAGGAAACACCCTCAACCCTAGATAACCCTTAGTAATTACGGGAGTTGGAGGAGACAGGAATCATTTATCTATGGGGAATGGGGACAAGATGGTCCAAGCCTGGAGTCCAGGAGCTCGTTGCTCCTCTTGCTATTGGACAAAGATTAAAGTATGGGAGAGGAAAAGAAGTTGTTATTTCTTCTAAAGAGAACATTCATTTTTCTTCTTTTTTTTTTTTTTTTCACTTTAAGTGGCTCTAACAAACAATTTAGGCGATAGGTTTAGTGGTTTCTATTCTCTTGGTCAAGTTAGGGTAGCAGTCATGTCAGAGTGGTTTCCAACACACAGCCTGTGGTTCTTATCAGTCTGAAATGAGGTTTGAGCATCTTGTTAGCTCTAATACAAAGCCACTTAAGGCCTTCAGGATATCAGTTTCAGACAATCTAAGGCAGAAATCACTCCATGCATGCCACACAGCTTTAAACCCATAAAAAAGCCAATTTAATTCTAATATGACGTTACTTGCATATCCTTCAACTTCACGATGTAGTAAACACAGTAACATACTCTCACCAGGTAAATGGTCCATACTAGCCGTGCTGCATAAAACATGTTCTCTTAGGACAACTTTGCCAGTGTTGTGGTGGAATGGACATTTTACAACCCCAGTGTTGAATTGCAAAATAACTTGTCCAGAGTCCAGTTTCCCAGTGTATTTACCATGAGCAATCAGATTTTCTCCTTATGTGGCTGATTCTATGCATTAACATGAGATTTAGGCCATCATTTCAAGAATTTAAGAATAACAAATGGAAGAATAACATAATATGCTTTTTTTTTTTTTTATGGTAGCCTGGCTCACCAGCCTATCTAGAAGGCAACTCAATGTGCATTTCAAGGTCACATTTAGTGTGCAGCCTGCATTCCCTTCTGGAGCAGAATACACACAGGCAGTCCAGTGTTTTCAATACATGCAGCAAAGTGGCAGATGGCTGGCCTTAAGAATATAGATGTAACATAACCTTTGAAATTTTTAAAAACTTTACTGGAAAATGAGCTGGGTTTTACAAGCGTGTCCCTAATTCAGTCTGAATGCAAATTAACATGTTCAGTTTAGAGCATAGAAACTATGTATGTCAATAGACCTCACCGATGCATACCATCTCTTATGATCTAGTCAACACTTTAGATAACCCTTGATTTTGATGGGACAGATGTCCCTAGTTGTACGTAACTAACTATGAACAAGCATTATATGATCCAAAAGGATCATTTAAGCAGAAGAATACATCCATGGAGAAAGCTTTCCTTCATAGTCCTTCTGAGGACACTGATACAAAAGAAAGAAACAAGGTGTTTTTGTCTACTGGTGATGGAACATTGTGGCTTTTCTAAGTCCCTACTGTTATGGCTCTCAAATTCAGCTAATTAAGACATATTTCACCAGAAGGAAATATTTGTAAAGTCAGTATGTCCCTAACAAGAAGCTATGTTAGTTAAAAAGGTTCACAAAAGAAATTCCCGGCATTCTTCAAATATATTCAAACTACTTCCCTAATTAATATTAAGAATTGAAGCTTTTTGAGACTGATGTCACAGGGAACAAAATCTTTTTGTTTTCTGATCATATAAAATGATGACAGTTTTCTTTTCTGTAGACATTCTGAGCTCTCTAAATAAGCTTAATTTGTGAAAAATGGAAGCAATTTCATCCAAGACATTTATTCTATTTGCTTTAGGTACAGTGGTCTTTCTACAATCGACTAGTATGTGCCTAGATGAACCAATGAATTCCAGCCTGCGGACTACAGAAGACAATGATGATAAATATTATGAGGTAAGATCTGTATTATTATGACATTATTTGGGGGAACTGTGGGTCATATACTGAGCACTTTGAATTTTTTGCCAAAGGCTCCCCTAACCTCATTGCACAGTATTCAGCATTACAGCACTAGCAGTATGAAAAAAAGCTTGTTGAAAGAATTTTCAGGAAATTCATTTGCTTGGACACACATACTACGTAAATCAATTTATGTTTCAATTTTCTTGCAATGCAGCCTCGAGATTAGGTTGAGACTTTTTCTGAAATGTTCCTTACTTACATAGTGGGGCCTCAATTAACATTCCTGTCAGCGTTTTATGCACATAATATAACAGATACATTATTAATCCAAAATTAATAAAGGAATGCTTGCAAGACTCAAAGAATTATGATAAACAGAGAACATTTTAAATATAATATAGTTAACGGTCTTAAAATTCTACTCTGGAAATCGCCTATAAAAATATCTTTGCAGAGTTGCACATTTAGTATGTCTCAATAGATGTAAAATGAAATGTGCACAGTTCATCTGTATTATTTTACTTGTCTGCTCTGCAAAAACTCCCTGGGAGATGAGAGCCAACCTCTTTTTTTGACTCATCATCGCTGATGTAATAAAGATCCTTCAAACCAAAGTACAACTTTAGTTATGCCAGCAAAATTCTCTGGTCTTCAGCTCACTGTATTTTATACACTTCAGAAGGGGTGTGCAGGTGCAATCAGAGAGCGGGTTTATTTAATGTTCTAATCACAGCATGGAGCATATGCCAGGGTAGTTCATTCCCCTGCTTTCCCAGTAGCTACAGAAGTTCCAGAGTAATCATCAAATAACAACAAGGAACTGAAATTAGGATTAGCAGCATCTGTGTCTTTAACTGCAATTAAAAAACGTACGTACTTGCTATTAAGGCTTGGAAATTTATTTTTGTCACAAAAATAAATTATTTTTAATATGCACAGGGAGCAAACACTGCTATATAAGAAAAGGTCTAGCTGATACAGCTATTTTTCAGAAAACAGCTGTCCCTTACATTGTAAGACATCGAATAGATTAGGTTCAGTTCTTCACTGTATGCCAGCACAGATATAGAAGATTTTGTGCTGGGTGCAAAAAAATTAGGAGCCCAGGAGCTGTCAATTCATCTTGTGTATTAGTGGAGGACTAACTCAACTTAAAACTCAACTATGGGCTGCAAGGGCAAATTCCAAAGGGCAATTTCTATGCTGCAAGGTCAAAACAGGCATGACGTACCTGACTTGAAAGCTTTCCATTCACTTCCCTGGCTGTTAGCCCAGCAGTATATTGGGTCAAAAACATCCACTCAGTGCTTAGGAAGAAAGGAGACACACCTTCAGGTAGCTTTGCCCATCCTCCTATTCATCCAGACCAGATGAGTAAAAGGCTGGGTCTGTGTCAAGTCACTAAATATAAGTCAGCATCTTTCCCTTCAAAAAACTTCCACTGGTGTTATTAGCAAATGTGGAGCTGACAATGACTCCTGTCCACACTGAACCGGTGGCACAGGTTCACGCTCTGAACACCTGTGGATACTGATGGGTAGATGTGCTCTTCTGACCAGTGTACCAAAAAGGTAACCAGGACTATATCTGCATATGAAGTAATCCATATGAAGTAGCTCACAATCGAGTTCAGCGAGTGCAGCTAAAAAGCATTAGATATCCCAAAAAAAGTGTTACCCAACAGCTTTCTAAGGGGATATAAAAATGAATACTTTGTGTGATTGGTGGCTGAAGTAGTGCCCTGAAAAATGATAGTATCCTTTTTTAAATTATTTTTCTTCAGAATAAAGACAATATCTTGGAAGAAATGCAGAGGAGTCTCAATTTTGAAGAAATGAAAGACTGGGGGTCAAAAAATATCATTAAAATGAACCCTCCTACAGTAAGTAAGATGCCAAATTCAGTTGCTAATTTACCCCTTAGGTTTGGAAGAAATTATCCAGAAGAAAGAAGCATTAAACCCATTGCTAATTTGCCTCTGAGATTTGGGAGAGCTTTTGGAGAGCAAGCTCCAAAGGTATCACACAGGCTTGGGAGATCTCCACTTGCCAAAAGCTCCAGTCAATCACTTCTAAAATTGCCACAGAGATTGGGGAAGTCACTGTCTGTCAGTCTGCCTCAAGATGTTCAGGAACCCGAACCAGGTAATAGTATGCAAGTATTCAAGCCATATATTAAAATGCCTATTAAGTCATAGGTTATAGACAATTAAATACAACGAGGTTTCCTCAAGGGAGAAGCTTTTCAATATGAATCAAATTTGCCAGAAGAAAGATTTGCAGTTTATCAGATCAAAGTCTCATCACAAAGATTAATAGGGAAACTCTTTATGAAATCTTTTCTAAAGAGAAGATCCCAAATAGCCAAAACTTAAAATGTCTACATGACAAGATCAGGTTTGACAAAACTTTTTTAGATCAGGTTTCATTTTGAAAAGTGTAAAGCTTTGGCGAAAAAACTTCTGATTCATTAAACTATCCCATTTCAGCACTATAAAACAACCGAACAAAATTACCTAAAAATTACTCTTCCATTTTCTAAATTTATGCAAATTAGAGTTGGAAAAAAAAAATATTCCAAGCTGAACTGCAGCATTCTGAAAATGTTGACCTTTTTTTTTCATCAGAACCCTTTTTTTTTTAAGATTGCCTTACTGAGCTAATGTTTCAGGTTTTGATTTTTCATTCCAAGTTAAGATGAAAATTTTTTTGACATCTCAGAAACATTTTCAGGATAGGAAAAATATTTCCTGCCTATTACTAAGAATAATTTAAGCCATCTCTTCAATAACAGTCCTTATCATATTTGCTGCTTTATCTAAACTGTTCATTTGTCTTGGAACCAAGTGTCAGTTGGCTACCTCTGACTTGCATCTGACACATGTAATGTAGAAGTTCAGGACAGGAAAGATAAATGATATATCAGAAGCCAAGATTCTTTCTTATTTATATTGATTCCTTTCATTCTTTTTTCACTATCTCACCTGATTATAACAGATTTTGTTTTACTTGTCTGATATTTTTAGGGATATGAATTCTAACAGTTACATTAATACTGGAATGAAATAATGAAGGCAGAATCTGAAAGACTTGGAAAAGCTGCAATGTGTTTTCAGAACTAAAGGTCATGAAAAGGAGACATGGGAACTGAAATGCAAACCTGTCTTTGTGTTATGAATAATGTATTTATTCTGTACAAACCCTTGATGTATAAGGCAATGATAATTGTACTGACTCTGATAGTAGCTTACTTCAGTGGCAGTGTAGTATAAATTCTATTTACTTCTGTGTGACTTAGGTCCTGTTGGTTGTAAAACCTAATTTCAGAGCAATGGTTGTATAATTGAAAGCATTTTAAGCAAAACTAAAAGAAGCATGGTATGAATAAAGCAGCATGGTACAAATAAAAAGAAGCCTATGATGTGAATAACAAACAGAAGCAGTATCAAAACCACTGGTAGCCTTTGTGTCAAATGCAGCTAAAGAAAATCAAGTAAAATGCAGAGAAAGCACTTTTTCTGTTATGAGTCACGTTAGATCTAAATCTGAAAGGCAACTTGTCAAGAATTAGGCCTAGCTTCCTTGACACCAACAGAGAAATAACATATAACCAAAGTCATATTGTAATGCAGTTATCTTGGGTTTTATGTCTGAGAAAATGGCCTCCTTAATGTCCTACAAGATCTGCCATGTGGGTGTCCCAATTCCTCTGTTAATGTGAATGACATTACAGCTACCAAATGTGCACATGGAAGGGGCTACTACATTGTACACAAATATTTCCATTTCATATTTCTCATGAAAACCATTCCCTTCTAAGTGGAATATTGTGTGTTTGGGCTTCCTCCAGTTGATTTCGCACCTGTTACAGAGAAGGCAAATCTGGTGGACTACAGGAACTAAGGAATTCTTTCCTCAGATCCTCAGATGCTGTGTTTGACACCATGTCTGGCCAATGGTGGGGCTAAGCATCCCCTCAAAAAAATACCACACATACCTAAACACACGTTGGCCTGTTTGGAAGACTGATTGACAGAGTCCCTCGGAAGGCAGTCCTGAAGGGCAAAGGAGTCCAGGAAGGCTGAACATCCTTCAGGATGGAATGCTTAAGGACTCAGGAGCAGGCTATTCCCATATCCTGTAAAACAAGCCAGGAGGAAAGACAACCAGTCTGGCTGAACCCTGGGGCTAGGGTGAAGGATGTACAGAGAATAAAATCCTACCCTAAGTCAGCCCTCAGGTTACTAGCTGTTAAAAATTTCCCAGGTAGACAGTCATGAAGTTCTATCAAGCCCAAGGGCAACCAAGACAGACCACAGGGTGTTGGGACGGTTATTAAGGGATCAGAAGCACAAATAATGTTATTCTGTACCCTACTAGTTACAGGGATTGATGAACAGTTAAACAGGAAGAATCAGCAGATCAATACCTGGTGTTACCAGCAGGACTTTGGGTTCTTTGAGCATGGGTTGGTTTACAAGACACAAGGCCTGCTCGCAACATATGGGCTACACTTGTATCAAAGAAGGAAAAAGGATCCTGGGACAAGAATTATCAGACCACAAGGGTGGCAGGACCATTAGCCCAGCTGAAGAGCATCTACACCAATGCAGACAGCATGGGTAACAAACAGGACAAGCTGGAGGCCATTGTGTAGCATGAAAATGATGATACAGCTGCTATCACAGAAAAGTGGTTGGAATGACTTCCCTAACTGGAGTGCGGCTATCAGTGGTTAGCAACTTTTCAGAAGGCACAGGCAAGGAGGAAGAGTCTGTGGAGCAGCCGTCTCTATCCACAAAAAAGTCTACCACTTAATGATGGCGATAATAGGGTTGAGTCTTTAAGGATAAGATTAAGGGGAAAGGCCAACAAAGCAGATCTCACAGCGTAAGTCTGAGATTGCCCAGGGACAGACACCGGGGACACGCACAGCCCGTCAGGCGCTCATGGCAGGTTTATTGGTGGAGCCAGGGCTGCAGAGCCGTGGTGGCGGTGGTGCCCGGGGCTCTCTTTCGGCGGCTCTGGCCCCGCGGGTGCCCGGGGCCGGGCTCAGCTCAGCGGCGCCGG